CACCACATTTCCAAGAAAAATGAAACTTTTGCACAAGAACTTTGAATATAATCATACCAAGATACACAAAAGTGAAATTGTCCAAAACTAATTGTAAAGAAAAAAATCATTCATCTTTTAAAATATAGGGGCCAAGGAGATGGCTCAGTGGAATAAGTGCTTCCCTGGCGAGCGCAACAGCCTGAGTTCAATCCCCGGTTCTCCAAAAAATAAATAAATAAAATAAAATGTAGATCAGGAACAGGGCATGCCTGAGCCCCTCTGTGATTCCAGCATTTTGGAAGCAGAGGCTCAAGAATTGCCTTGAGTTTGAGGCCAGCTTGGGCCACACAGTGAATTTATGGCAGCCTGAACTACATGGAAAGACCCTGTCACCAACAAACCACTAACCACCAGCCAACCAACCAACCAACCAGCCAACCAATGAACCATCAGTTGTTCTTAAGCTTCAGCCAGGCTCAGAATCTGCTGCAGGGCCAGGCAGAGCCCGCCTTCTGGGCCTACCTGCTACAGTTCCTGAATGCGAGGTCTGGGTGGGGCTCAGCTTTCCACAACCTCAACTGTGCCCAAAGTGCTCACCATTGCTCCAAGGCATGCTAACCTCCTGCGCAGCCTTCCAGCGGGCTCCATGTTTGTCTGACATTCTCTCACTTTTAAATGTGAATGACTGTTTTTTCCTTTCTGGGGTAGAGGGCCAAGTTATGGGAAGAGGCCTCTCAGGTTATTTCTCCAGTTCTAGCCCAGTGGTTTCCAAACTGGCTGCACATCAAGACAGTGTGTAAAGGGCTGGCCAGCTAGCTCAGCAGATTAAAGCGCCTGCTTAGACAGGCAGAGAGACCCCATCTAATCCCTGGCATGCTGTGCTGGCCCTGCCCCCGGGGTGTGCTGAGCCGAAGAATGAGACTGGGTGTGGTGGCGAGAGCCTGTAATTGCAGCCCTTGGGAGGCTGAAAACAGGAGGATCACTATAAGTCCGGTCTGTGTAATGAGACCCTATAGACCCTGTATAAAACAAAAGAAGACAGTGTGTGAAGAAACTGATGCACAGGAGGTGGAGGCCACACCTGGTTCTTAAGCCTCCAGTTTCATTCTAGAGTACAACCAGGAGGAAAACGGCTGCTGTAAATAGCTTGGCATTCAAGCCAGAAACTTCAAAGTCAGAATTATGCAGGCTGGAATGATACAGGGTTTGAAAGTGACAGCTTCCCTTTCTGTAGCAGTTTTGAGATCTACATTATCTCATTTTCCATATGAATGGCAAGTCAAGGGAATAAACAGCAGAAAAGCTATCACCGAGAAGCATGAATGTGTATTTTAATGCAAAACCTATGAGGTTAAACCAATGAGGTTCTAAAAGAAGTAAAAGAAGTCCCAACACAAAGAAACGACAAATGTTCAAAGTGAAGGATATGGACCCATTACCCAGCCCCACACTGGGGCATGCATCGAAATTGCAAATGAACCCCATAAATGCATGTAATTATTGTATGTCAATTAAAGAAAAAGTAGTAAGAAAAGGTGTAGGCATGTGGGTTCACAAGGCATGTGTACCTTTACCCATAAGCATATAAACATAAACACATAAATAGAGAGCAAAGAGAAAGCTAAGGAAGCACACAGTGCTGAGGGTTGACTGTTTAAAGGAAGTCATGACCTAGCAGCAGAATTCTCCTGTGGCAGACATCACTATCGCTTCTCCCTTTCACAGGGGAGATGCAAGCAGTTAAGGACAATCTCAGCCTCTTGCAGTTAGTGTACCATGTGACTAAATTCCAGCCAGTGAGGCATAAGGAGATTTTTGGTGTGGCCTCAAGAAAGCTTCTGACATTAAGAGTGTGATTTCTGCCCATTTGCCCTTTCACTGAATGAAGCCAGCTTGAAATTTCCAGTTGGGAGTGAAGATGTGACAGCAAGAACACTGTCTGCATTTTGGAGGATTCTGGAGCAGAAGCCAGTGCTGGGGACGGCCAAGCAGGAGGACAGGGGGCCACATTCCAAACGGGGATCCCAGAACAGCCCCAGACATTGCCGCTTCCTGTCTGTGAGAGAAGGAAAACCCTCCTGAGCTTAACTCCTGTCAGTCTGGGTTTTCTGCATTAGGAAACTGAGCCATAACCATCATACTTGATAAGTTCCCAACAGCCCACAATAACAGAAAACCCCACAGAGAAGGTGATCCCAAGGTGGATGGGTGACTCATGCCCTACAGCCACTTCTCTGGGAGCTCCTGATGTGATCCATGTGCCTCCCTTTCCTTCCAAACACAAATCCTCTGCCCAGCTGGATGGTGGGGTGGCCACCTGAGCGGGACTTAGCCATCGGGACTAGGGGTCAGGCTGCTGATTAGCAGCAGAGTTTGACATGGATCCTGCTGTGGAGTGGAACACTGCCACCATGGACCACGTGGGACTGAGGAGCCAGCAAAGGGGAGATGATGGCCCAGCCATGGGGAGAGAAACGAGGTGCTCAGACAGACAGACACAGAGCTAGCTGGGGACCGAGGCTGAATGGGCCGTGCGACAGCAGCCAGGAGGACTCACTTGCGCTTTTCCTATTCTCCTACAGAGCTGGGCTGCTTTTATCTTCCATTCCTGCCTATAGGCATGACTCAAAATTAGGGTGAATATTTAAATTTTAAAAATGTATCACAGTAAGACACGCTGCTATTAATCTCCCTGCCTCACACATCCGTTCCACTGTTCTCGGCCCTGCCGGGAACAGGTCTGGAAGCTTTCTTTTGCGTCTTCAGTTGCACCATCACGACTCTTCATGTCCTTTCTTGGTCATTCTGACTTAGGGAAGGGTAGCAGTCACAAGATGCCAAGTTCTGTGACTCAGGTAAAGGAAGAGGCGCTGTTTTTGCCGACCTGCTTTTCTAGTATGGCACTTGGCAGCAGCGTTCACCATAATGACACCTCTAGAAGACGCGTGGGAAGGAGGACTCCTGAGCAGCTTCAGAGAGTGGCAGGAATGTGGGGCCAGTGCGTGGGAAGTGGGGGAGAGGGGCTGATGGCAATGTTTTTTTTTTTTTTTT